GGATGCATTGAAAACCATTGGTTTTGAGAGGGGGGTGTTATTTTTATACTGGTGATCCGGTATTTTGGGGAAGTTCCAATATTTATTGATATTTCTTGCTACTTCTCACATGGCCAACACCTTTTTGAGGAAGAAAACCCAGCAAGTACATCGATTTTTTGGGAATATGTCCATGGATCTTCAGGCAAGGTATCTTACATGTGCTCCGATTTTGAGGGTCCCACAGGTAGCCAGCATTGATTGCATTTACCTTTGATTTATCAGAAATATAATTCGAAACCTTCGGAAGCCAAATACTGAACAAAAATGCCAAGCCAGTCACCCACCACCACGGTACATGCTGCTTGTGCGGAATTCGTAGATGAACCCGTTTTTACGGAACCCAATCATGCAAGTAGATTTTTTGTTGAAAATTGGCAGGTACATCCTTATTTTTCTTTGAATTGATGTTATTTTACTATTTCCACAGGTTCTCTTAATAATATCCAAAACCAGGCGGGTGCAACCGGCAAGTGCCATGCCCCCCCATACCTAGGCCATCAAACACTTGGAGTTGCTGCCAGTAGTGAGGTTGGTCTTCGGGGGATGGCCTGTGCGCACTTGGTTTGATAGTATACGGTCCTTATTTATCTTATTTAAAAGGAAATTAACCCGTATGGATCCAAACCTGATCCTGACAAGATAAATTCTTCCAATATTTTTTTTCTATAAAATCCCTATTATTACCTTGGTGTTTGAACCTTTTCAACCTCTTTGGTGGATTTTTAATTTAGTTTGTTTTAGTTCAATCACTAATATCGATAACCGGATGGAAGGTCGATATCAGAAACAGCAAAGGTTCAACCTCAAATACCACCAGTATGGTTTCAAATATCTCGAATTTCAAATAAAAAGAATTTACTAATTTTTAAGTGTTAAATTTTTTTAAATTTATGGTTCTACAGGGTCGAAAATTACGATTGCTAAAGGTGGATGTGGAATTAGTATTGGATATAGTTATATAAAATTTATTTTTTAATTTAAAATATTGAAAAATAATTTTTTTTGGGAAATTAAAAATTACTTTCAAATTAAAATTATCAATAAATATTTTATTTTGAATAAATCCCAATAAAATATTTATTTATTTTTTCCCGTATTTTTTTTGATATATATTTTTTGGCATTCGATTTGGTATTTTATTTTATATATTTATTAAATATTTCGAAATTACTTTGGAATAT